CCGCCGCCGCTCACACAAACTACAAATCCTAACGCCGCGAGAGTAGTCATGTGAACCCTAGCACGGTTCATTCATCTCCTTCTGCCACTGGATAATTGTTTACTCCTCTCTGTCTACTGCCAATCTGCTTGTCTCCTTCTAACATCGCGAAGAACAGGTTTGTTCGTTTTCTTCCTCTCCTGTATCATTATTAAATCTTCAATAGTTCATACAGTATTTTTGTTTGCACTGATATTTTCTTTTGTAACTGACCAATCTGAAGGCGCCGTCGTAGTTCTATTATATTCTTGTGTGTTTGTATATCTGATTTTGTAACTGACCTACATCTAATGTTCATTATTTCAAGCTTCTTCATCATAATGGCAAAGTTTGTTTACACTTTTGAACCTTTCTACGCAATTTTCTGTCCCCTCGGTACTTTTGGTTAGTAAAGTTGCCCCTGTTTTGACATATTTATTCAAACATCAAACTAGTACCTTTGCAACATATGACTCTACATGTATGCACCTAAAAAGGAAGCAAAAAAATATTGCAATTTAATGTTTGCTCATGATATGAAGCTAATTATGACTAGTTTTTTGGAATTCTATATTTCATATGAGAGTTTGCTAGTTTCTTCACTTGCAAAGGAATTAATTATGGTATGGTTACCAGTTAAACAATCCTAAAATCTGAATCTGAGTTTCCTGCTCCTATTATTATTTGATGTTTCTTGAGATTACTAATCAACAATAGAAACAGTTTCATTCATTATTTCTGTTAAGCATAGGCAAAATAAAAGCATTTTTACAATTTCTGATGCATTACTCAACACTCACAAGGCACAAAAGAAAGAAAAACATAAAAAGAAGATAAAAATCTTAAATTTAAAAGATTCAGGTACTTACTGTTTATCATGTTATGATTTTTTTTAATAATTGATTTGTGTTTTATTTTGAAAATTCTTATGTTAACTATTTGTGTTAAACTTATTTATTTATAAACACGTGTTTCACTTATTTAGTTAAATTAAAAATTTTGTAATTGTTTACATTAGTTTATATCTATTTTATGTATTTTTTTTTGTTTTTGCTAATACTGTATGACATTTTAAATCATGAATTCAAGTTTATAACTCTAAAATAACAAATTAAAAGTTGTTAAAATACCATAAACACTTAAAAATTACCTATGACTTCATTATACAGTAATGGAGCAGTCTAGTCAATTCGAAGAGGTTGCAAATCCCACCATGACTGAACCAGCAGCATCAAGAGGTGATGGTGGTGGTGCACAACCTATTGGACAACCAACAGTTATAGCTGAAGCTGTAGAAACTAATCCTACTGCTACCCTCCCAATTAATACAAGAAAGAGGAAATTAAATGCAAGTGGGTCTCAAAAAACCTCTATAGTTTGGGAACATTTCAAAACAATATCTGAAAATGAATCTAAGGAGAAAATGGCTGAATGTAATCATTGTGGTAAACGATATAGGTGTGATCCAAAGATACATGGCACATCAAGTTTACTTAACCACATAGGAAAATGTCCTAAATATCCAAATGCTATTATTAATGACCCCAACCAAACATCCCTTACCTTGAAGAGAGATGTGAGCGGTTTGACAGTTGTAAGCCAAAGATACAATGTTGAAGCTTGTAGGAGGGCATTAATTGTCTTTATTATTTTAGATGAACAACCTTTTAGGGTGGTTGAGGGTGAGGGTTTTAAGCACTTTTGTAGACAGTTACAACCACAATTTATTGTACCATCAAGACATACAATAGCAAGGCTTTGTTTTCAATTTTATATGGATGAAAAGCATAAGCTAAAGGCTTTCTTTAAGTCAAATTGTGCTAGGGTAGCTCTCACTACTGACTGTTGGACGTCTATTCAAAATTTAAACTATTTGGCACTCACAACACATTTTATAGATAATGATTGGAAATATCAGAAAAGAATCATTAGTTTCTCAATAGTTCCTAACCACAAAGGGGAGACCATAGGAAAGAAAGTTGAGGAGGTATTAAAGGAATGGGGTTTGAGAAATGTGTCTACAATTACAGTTGACAATGCTTCAGCCAATGATGTGGCTGTAACATATTTGAAAAAAAGATTCAAGAATATGGGAGGATTAGTAATGGATGGTCAATTTTTTCATATGAGGTGTTGTGCCCATATACTAAATCTAGTAGTGAATGATGGTTTAAAAGATGTGCACAATTCAATTGCAAATATTCGGACAGCTGTTAGATTTGTAAGGTCTTCACCCCAAAGATTGGCTAAGTTCAAAGAGTGTGTTGAATTTTCAAAAATTGAATGTAAAAAATTGTTATGTCTTGATGTTCCCACAAGATGGAATTCCACATATATGATGTTAGATGCTGCTGAAAAATTTCAAGTTGCCTTTGAAAAGCTTGACTTTGAAGACTCAAGTTATCTAGAGGTTTTTGGGATAGCTGGTCCCCCAACTACAATTGATTGGGAGAATGTTCGAGCATTTTTAAAATTTTTGAAAATTTTCTATGAGGCCACTAAGGTTTTCTCTACATCATCACATGTCAGCTTACATGTTGCATTTCATCAACTGTCATCCATTTATTTTGAACTTAAGCAATCAAATATGAATCTGAACACTATTTTGGCCATGATGGGTTTTAATATGAAGCAAAAGTATGACAAATATTGGGGTAATATAAATAACATCAATCAATTGTTGTATTTTGGAGTTATTTTTGACCCTCGTTACAAATTTGAATTTGTGGATTGGTCATTTAAAGAAATGTATTTAGACGATGCAAATTTTGATGAAAATTTGTCCACTTCTTTGAAAGAAAATTTGTTCCACATGTATAATTGGTACAAGACAGGTTATGAGAAACAAAATGAATCTGCACAATCCTCTCATGATTCAACATTTTGTGTTTCTCATAGTGAAACTTCTGTCTTTGTTGAAAATTCATCATATTTGGCTAGGAAAGATGCTTTTAAGAAGCACTTAAGGGAAAAAAAATTCTATTGATAGAAAAAATGAACTTGAAAGGTATTTAAATGAAACTTGTATAGATGTTGATGACACATTTGACATTCTTGTTTGGTGGAAACAAAATTCTTCAAGGTTTCCTATACTATAAAAAATGGTTAGTGATGTTTTAGCCACCCCAATTTCTACAGTTGCTTCGGAAAGTGCATTTAGTACAGGGGGTAGAGTTTTAGATGCTTTTAGAAGATCTTTAAACCCACAAATGGCAGAGGCAGTAATTTGTGCTCAAAATTGGTTGAGGTCAACTACAACCCAGTTCAAAGATCTTAATATCAATGAAGAGTTTGAAATTTCAGAAAATATTGTTACAGGTATCATAATATTCTTTTGCTATGAAAATTATTTAATATTTGTGTTGTACATGAGTTAACTATCTTATTTTTAAATGTATTGTAGATGACATAATTACTCATTAGTTCAATAACTATTTTGATAATGAACTTTCAGTTTATAGTTTATGCTTTATCTGTTGAACACAAGTATATACACAATCAAATTGTATGTTAAGTAGTTTTCTGTCTAGATATTTAAGTTTAATTAGATTACTAATTCCTAAGTGCCACTGAGATTATTTAACAAGAACAGTGTTTATTATTTGATTTCAAACAGGATATTAAAAAAGAGAATTGACCAATGGTTGCATACGTTTCTTCCTTATAGGGTACTGATATGGGTTTGGTGTCATTAAGAAAGAGAAACAACCATTCCAGGTGCTCCAATGGATTTTTTGGATTGACTACCTTCCAAGTTTTAATTGATAACTCCCTGTCATAAATAAAAAACTCAAAAGTTTACAAGAGAGACTCAAACAAAATACAAAACTAATAATTGATTGTAAATCTACAGGCTCTTACCCTGTCAATTTGAAATACAAAACAACCAATACACAAAAAGAACACATAAGGGATCGTTTACCACAATGTTTACATTCATGCATTTTCTCCTTAGATTCATTTTCAGATAGTGTTTTGAAATGTTCCCAAACTATAGAGGTTTTTTGAGAGCCATTTGCATTTAATTTCCTCTTTTTTGTATTAATTGGGTGGGTAGCAGTAGGATTAGTTTCTATAGCTTCAGCTATAACTGTTGGCTGTCCAATAGGTTGTGCACCACCACCATCACCTCTTGATGCTGCTGGTTCAGTCATGGCGGGAGTTGCAACCTCTTCGAATTGACTAGACTGCTCCATTACTGTATAATAAAGTTATAGGTAATTTTTAAGTGTTTATGGTATTTTAACAACTTTTAATTTGTTATTTTAGAGTTATAAACTTTAATTCATCATTTCAAATGTCATACAGTATTAGCAAAAACAAAAAAAAACAAAAAAATATATATAAACTAATGTAAACAATTACAAAATTTTTAATTTAACTAAATAAGTGAAATAGATATTTATAACTAATTAAGTTTAACACAAATAGCTAACATAAGAATTTTCAAAACAAAACACAAATCAATTATTAAAAAAATCATAACATGATAAACAGTAAGTACCTAAATCTTTTCAAATTTAAGATTTTTATCTTCATTTTATGTTTTTCTTTCTTCTATGCCTTGTGAGTGTTGAGTAATGAATCAGAAATTGTAAAAATGCTTTTATTTTGCCTATGCTTAATAGAAATAATGAATGAAACATGTTTCTTCTTTATTTGTTTCCAGTGTTGATTAGTAATCTTAAGAAACATCAAATGATAATAGGAGTAGGAAACTCAGATTTTAGGATTGTTTAACAGGTAACCATACCATAATTAATTCATTTGCAAGTGAAGAAACTAGCGAACTCTCATATGGAATATAGAAATCCAAAAAACTAGTCATAATTAGCTTCATATCATGAGAAAACATTAAATTGCAAGATTTTTTTGCTTCCTTTTTAGGTGCATAGATGTAAAGTCATATCTTGCAAAAAAGGTACTAGTTTGATGCTTGAATAAATATGTCAAAACAGGGGCAACTTTACTAACCAAAAGTACAGAGGGGACAGAAAATTTGCGTAGAAAGGTTCAAAAGTGTAAACAAACTTTGCCATTATGCTGAAGAAGCTTGAAATAATGAACATTAGATGTAGGCATTTATGTTGGTCTGTCTGTGTAGGAAGATAGCATCAATAGCAATAAGGCCAGGCCCATATCAGTGATCTTGATTTTCTATTCCTAGAAACTAGCCACAAAGAAGTGTTCATTTCTCATTATTCCTTATAAAGCTAGGCTCAAGAAAAGAAAAAGAAAAGAAAGACAAGAACTAAACTTTTATATCTGATGAAGCTCAAATGGACTCTATAACAGAAGAATTCAAGAAAACTAAAAGATTTCACCATTCACACAGACAAGAGAAGTTTAAATGTCAAGGATATGAACAAGTCAACAAAATTTTTTCTTTTTATGTTGCTGTTGGAACTTTTTAATGCGTCAACATGGATGGACATTAATACCACTTCTAGAACAATCAGAAATGGCTTGCAATTTTCTTAGTTGATGATATACTTAAGAATCATTAAATCTGAGAACTGCAAATCCTTCACATCTTATTTGTTTGGAGACTCCACACCAAAATAGAAAAAAGAAATGTTATCATTAGGAGTTGATGCTTGCTTTAAAGTTGATATAAAAAAGATCACTTGTTGTAAGAAGCACCCAAATTGCAGCTTTCTCTGATGAAGTTCATTGAGCACCTTCCTCCCTCATGCAAGCATTTTTTCCTATAGGTTAGTTGTACTACTAATAAAACCAACACTAACATAAGAAGTGGTCAATTCTCTCATGATTCGAATTGACTAGACTGCTCCATTACTGTATAATGAAGTCATAGGTAATTTTTAAGTGTTTATGGTATTTTAACAACTTTTAATTTGTTATTTTAGAGTTATAAACTTTAATTCATCATTTAAAATGTCATATAGTATTATTAAAAGCAAAACACAAATAGCTAACATAAGAATTTTCAAAACAAAACACAAATCAATTATTAAAAAAAGCATAACATGATAAATAGTAAGTACCTGAATCTTTTTAAATTTAAGATTTTTATCTTCTTTTTATGTTTTTCTTCCTTTTGATCTTTCTTCTACCTCTCTTGCATTTATCCAAAGTAGACATTCAATGTAGATTAAAAACTATACCAAATAAATATTATTTTTAATATAAAAATTAGAACTCAAAACATATTTATTTCTTCTACCTCTCTTGCAATTTAATTTGAGGGATTGTGGTCTCTTGATCAAGATTGGCGTGCTTGGTGAAGCTACTTTGCCATTAACTGTGTTAGGTTCTATGGCAAAATCAGATATAGAAACACACAAGAATATAATAGAACTACTAGCGCACCTTCAAATTGGTCACTTACAAAAGAAAATATCAATGCAAACAAAAATACCATATGAACTATTGAAGATTTAATAATGATACAAGAGAGAAAGAAAAGGAACAAACCTGTTCTTCGCGATGTTAGAAGGAGACAAGCAGATTGGCAGTAGACAGAGAGGAGAAAACAATTATCCGGTGGCAGATGGAGATGAATGAACCGTGCTAGGGTTCACATGACTACTTTTGCGGTGTTAGGGTTTTTAGTTTCTACTGGCGTGAGCGGCGCTTAGGGTTTCTAGTTTCTATTAGTGTGAGCAGAATAGAAGGTTTCGCGGAGCAAGCGCTTAGGGTTTTTAGTTTTTACTCTCGCGGTGCTAGCTTTACAAGAATAACATACCTTTTAATTTTTTTGTGTTGGTCGGGTATGGATACCGACGGGTTCAAATATTTTAACCCGAACCCGACCAATAAAACCCATTTCAAACCGAGTCTAACAAACCGCAAAACCGGAAAATCCTAAAATAACCGGACGAACTAAGAAACTCACCATGGAAAATTTCGATTTCGGTCGGGGCAAAATTTTCTGCTCATGCCTAGTTATATCTGTTGAAATTAATGCAAAGATTTATACTCGTATGAATTTATTTTTTATTTTTTTAATTACATTGTGAGAATACTAATATAAGGATGTATGTTTGGACTTTTATTTATTTATTATTTTTTAATTTTTGGGTTTCTCAATTACGTTGCCATTAATATTAGGTTTTTCATTTTTTAATTATGATGGTTGACTCTATTAGTGAGGAAGTATAATGGATGATGAAAATGCAACTATTGAGATGAGTGACGTTTTGCATACAATATAATAAAATAATATTGTGTTGTGTTCCATTATTGTTATTTTGAAGGTTTATAGTGTTGTTAAGTTTGTGATGCTCCAAAAGATTTAATAGAAGATGATTTTTTTAGGGGTTGGATGATATTTTTGAAAACATATAGTTGAAGGAGACGATAATGTATATGAAAATGAGAAAGTTGATGATTCAAATATTGTTTTAGAGTAAATGTTTGAAGAGGAATTGGAAAGTGTGGTTAATGAAGGAGGAGTTGAGTTTTTTGATGATGAAAAAGGGGGGCATAGTTTCTACTTTAGATAATATTTTTAATTTGGATATGCATAAGTCCACATGAGCCGAGGGATGTTCAATTTGTATGTCTTGAGATAACTTATTTATTTTATTATTGGTTTGTAAAGGGGAATGAATTTGCTATAAGATAAAACAAGGCTTTGAGAAATAGTAATGCAGAAAAATTACAACAAACATTTGTTTGTCTCAAAAAGGGATTTAGAGATAATTGTTGATTGAGTATAGAGAATCAAAAGTGTGAAGAAAAACACAAGACAAGGTTTGGATGTGAAGCAAAACTAAGAGTGCACATTGATATTAATTATGGACTATTTTCTAGATGACCACAACCAAAGTTTTTTTTAAGATAAGTATTGTAGTTAGCTTCTCATAAAAACTTGAGTGAGTTAGATGTAACAATGAATAAAATGAGAAAAGTTGCCATAAGAGATGGAATCTACCAAAGGTTGCATTTGGGAGAACTTGAGGAATGAAGAAGATGGGTTGATTTGCATGACAAGGCCCATGAAGATATATTATCTATTGTTATTTTTTACATGTTGATGAAGACTTAAGCCCAATTTGAAGATAATATGACAAGTCAAAATTCATATAATTAAGAAAAAGCATTAATGAGTTGAAGTTTAATTAATTTTTGGGCTAAATAGTTACTTAAGCCTGTTTCCTTAATTATTAATGTAATTTTATATTTATTTTTATTTAAATAATTTATATTTCTTTCCATATGTTTAGGTCAATTTTTAGTGTTTTTAGACTTTCTAAGCCATAATGATAATGGAATAGTGGAGAGTCAATTTTAGTAGAAAATAAGTGTTAGTGGAAATTCATTACTTGTTGCTTATCTAAGCCTATTAATAGGAAACTCAAGTATGATTCAAGGAGA